CGGCCCCCCCCCAGCCCTCCCCACCCTCCTTTCCTCCCGCCCCCCAGGTCCATCGGTTGCTTTCCTTTCTCCCCCCCCCCCCCATCCGGCGCCCCAGCTGCTGGAGCAGGCCCTGGTGATCGAGGAGCAGCTTCGGCGCGCCGCCTACCTGAACATGACTCAGGATCCCAGCCACCCGGCCATGGCCCTGAACACGCGCTTCGCCGAGGTCGAGTGCCTGGCCGAGAGCCACCAGCACTTGTCCAAGGAGTCGCTGGCGGGCAACAAGCCCGCGAACGCCGTCCTGCACAAGGGTAAGAGGCGGGCGGGCCGGCGGCGCGGACGCCCCGTGTAGCACCTGGCTGCTCTCTGTACCGCGCTGCGAACGGCTCTGATTAAAGTGGGGTTCTGCTCCCAACCGGCTCCCGGTGTGTCCTTGCTCCGCGCGGCTCCACGGCGGCCGGAGGGCGGAGGGGGGGGCGAGGATGGAGGAAGAGGGGCTGACGGGGCTGAGGGAGAGCAGGGAGAGCGCCCAGGGAGCGCTGAGTGCTCAGGGTGACTGCAGGGGGACTCAGGGAGCTCGGAGGAACTCTGGGAGCTCGGAGGAACTCTGGGAGCTTGGAGGAACTCAGGGAGCTCGGAGTAACTCAGTGAGAGCTTGGAGTAACTCAGGGAGCTTGGAGGAACTCAGGGAGAGCTTGGAGTAACTCTGGGAGCTTGGAGTAACTCTGGGAGCTTGGAGTAACTCTGGGAGCTTAGAGTAACTCAGTGAGAGCTCGGAGTAACAGCAGAGGGAGCTTGGAGTAACAGTGGAGTGAGCTCAGAGTAACTCAGTGAGGTTGGAGTAACAGCAGAGTGAGCTCGGAGTAACTCAGGGAGCGTGGAGTAACTTAGAGCTCGGAGCAACTCTGGGAGCTCAGAGTAACAGAGGACGGAGTTCAGAGTAACTCTGGGAGCTCGGAGTAACTCAAGAAGCTTGGAGTAACAGCAGAGTGAGCTCAGAGTAGCAGTGGAGTGAGCTTGGAGTAACTCAGCTCAAAGTAGCAGCAGAGTGAGCTCGGAGTAACTCAGTGAGCTCGGAGTAACTCAAGAGTAGCAGCAGAGTGAGCTCAGAGTAATAGTGGAGTAACCTGAGAGTACCAGCAAAGTAACAGCAGTGACCTTGTAGCAACGCCTGAGCAACCTGTAGATAACCTCAGCAGCCTTGGAGTAACCTCTGAGTAGCTGCTGAGTAACCTCTGAGTAATCTCGGAGTCACCTCTGAGTAACACCTGAATAAGCTTGGAGTTACCTCTAAATAACCTCTGAGTAACATCTGTGTTAACCTCAGAGTAATTTCTGAGTAACCTCTGAGTAAGCTCAGAGTTACCTCTGAGTACCTCTGAGTAACCTATGAATAACCTTGGAGTAACCTCAGAGTAACCTCTTTGTAATCACAGATTATCCTCTGAGCAATCTCTGAATCACCACTCAGTAGCGTCTGAATGAAATCTGATTAATTTTGCAGAGAGCATTGATTAACCTCTGTGTAACCTCAGAGTAACCTCAGAGTAACCTCTTAAATACTTCAGAGTAACCTCAGAGTAATCACTGAGTAGTCTCCAAGTGACCTTTAATAACCACTGAGTAACCTCTGAGTAACCTCTGAGTAACCGTTGAATTAGTTCTGAGTAACCTCTGAGTAACCATTGAATAACCTCAGAGTAACCTCTGAGTAAACTTTGAATTAGTTCTGAGTAATCTTTGAGTAACCTCTGAATAACCTCAGAGTAACCTCTGAGTAACCTTCGAATTAGCTCTGAGTAACCTCAGAGTAACCATTGAATAACCTTTGCATTACCTCTGAGTAACCTCTGAGTAACCTGGGAGTAAGCTGGGAGTAAGGTGGGAGTAAGCCGCAGCGAGCTGTGATCCTGGGGCGGCCGCGGGGCTCTGGGGCGCTGCTTCTGTTTCCTGCTGGCGGGGCTTTGTGCTGAGCTGCATCCGCTGAGTATCCGTCGCGTAACTCCGGAGGATGGCACCCATCTGTCCCCCCCCCTCTCCCCCCTCCCCGTCCCCCCCCCCTGTTTCTGGCGCCCCCCCATTTGCCCGGGGTGGGGGGGGGGGGCAGCTGTTACCCCCCCCCCCCCCCATTGCATGCCAGGAGTAACCTGGAGTCGTCGTGCCGCCCCTCGTGCATGCCAGGAGTAAACCTGGAGTAACATCGGTTGCGCCCCCCCGGTGCCCCCGCATGCCGTCAATCCCCCCAGCTGCCCCATGGCTTCACCCAGCTGTGTGCCGTGGGGCACCCAGGGCGTTGCTGAGCGCCTCGGGGGGGCGTTGAAGGGCCCTGAGTAGAGCTGGCGTGGTGGCGGGGAGTAAATCCGGAGGATCCCATGAGTAGCCCTTGTCTGAGGGCCTGAGAAGCTCAGGGTGTGCGGGGGGAGGGATGGAGCCCAAATGTCCCCGCTGTGTTTGAGGAGCAGCTCTGGAGTAGTGGTGGTGTAAAGCCTGAGTACAGGGAGGATGTGTGGGGTGTTCTGTGAGTATCCCCCGAGTACAGGGAGGATCTGTGGGGTATCCTATGAGTATCCCCTGAGTACAGGCAGGATCTGTGGGGCGTCCTTTAAGTGTAGGCCGAGCGCCCCATAGCTGCCCCTCTTCCAGGTATCACTGATGGTGATCCTGGCGTTGGAGCGTTCCTGATGCAGCTGTAGAGCATCTCCGGTGTGACGGAGGAGTAAACCTGGAGTATTTACACCTGGAGTAGTTCCAGTGCACTCGGGGTCCTCCCACCATGGGGCAGCCCCTAAGTATCCCCCGAGGAGCTGCCCACCCACCCCCAGCCCCACTCCAGGCCCTCAGTACCCCGTGAGCTGATGGAGGGCTGTGTAACCCGGGGAGGCTGTGAGTAAGCTGTGAGTTAACAGTGAGTAACCTCGGAGTAAAGCAGGAGGGAGATTGGAATGTGCTGAGGGTCAATGGAGTAAACTGTGAGCAGGCTCTGACCGTGAGTGAGCTGTAGGTCAGCCGTGAGTGAGGCCGACCGTGAGCTGTAAGCTGGGAGTAAATGGAGAAGGCTGTGAGTAAGCTGTGAGTAAGCTGTGATCAGCTCCGATTGAGCTGTGAGTCGGCTCTGAGCAAAGCGTGAATGAGCTCTGAGCAACCACTGAGTGCTGAGGAAGCCATGATGAGCTGCGAGTGGGGTTGAGGTGCTGGGGAACTAGGAGTAGCCCTGGAGCAGGTTTTGAGGTGTGAGTAAGCTCTGAGTAAAGGGGTAACTCAAGTCTGAGTAACCCCGTGAGTGAGCTGTGAGATGAGTAGCGTCTGGGTAACCTGTGAGAAAGCTGCAACTGCAGTGAGAAAATGAGCTTGGAGTAACTTAGGAGCAGGCTCTGAGTAAGGTGGGAGTAACCTCTGAGTAAGAGCTGAGAAGCCTATGGGTGAGCTTGGAGTAGTGATGGGTGAGCTCTGAGTAACGTGTGTGTGAGCTCTGAGTAACCGAGTTCTGAGTAAGTTACGAGCAAGCTCTGAGTAAGCTGTGTGATGCTCGTGCCTTGTTAGATCTGAGTAACCCTACGTGTACACCTTGAGTAAGCTCTGAGTAAATGAGTTCTGGGTAAGACGTGAACAGGCTCTGAGAGAGCGGTGGGTAAGCACTGAGTTTGAGGTCTGAGTAAGGTCTGGGTCAGTTGTAAGGTCTGAGTGAGCTCGGAGTAAGGTCTGAATAAGCTCTAAGATATGAGTAAGGTCTGAATAAGATGTGAGTAAGCCCTGAGTAAGGTCTGAACAAGCTCTAACATACGAGTAAACCCTGAGTAAGCTGTAAGGTCTGAATAAAGTGTGATTAGGCTCAAAGATCTGAGTAAGATGTGAGTAAGCTCTGAGTAAGATGCGAGCTCTGAGTAAGGTCTGAATAAGCTCTGAGTAACATGAGTAAACCTTGAAGAAGCTCTGAGTAAGGTTGAACAAGGTGCAGGTAAGGCTGAACAAGGTGCAGGTTTTGAGGAAGCTGCGTAAGGTCTGAGTAAGCTCTGAGTAAGATGCGAGTAAGCCTCGTGTTAGCTCTGAGTAAGGCCTGAACAAGGTGCAGGCTTTGAGGAAGCTCCGCGTAAGCTCTGAGTAAGCTCTGAGGCAACTCTGACTAACCCATGAGCATGCAGTGAGTAACGTGTGAGTAACATGTGAGCAACCACCGAGTAACTTACAAGTAACCCCCGAGCGGCATGTGCGCAACCCACGAGTACCATGCGAGCGACCCCCGAGCAACCCCCCCCCCCTTCCCCCCACCCCCCCCACCCCGAGTAACCCGCGAGTAAGAGGCGAGTAAGGGAGGAGTAAGCGGTGAGCAAGGCCTGAGTAACGCGGCGTCCTCCCCGCAGTGCTGAACCAGCTGGAGGAGCTGCTGAGCGACATGAAGGCCGACGTCACCCGCCTGCCCGCCACGCTGTCCCGCATCCCCCCCATCGCCGCCCGCCTGCAGATGTCGGAGCGCAGCATCCTCAGCCGCCTGGCCAGCAAGGGGGCCGACAGCCACCCCCCGCCTGTGAGTGACACACGGGGCAGGGGACGGACAGACGGACACGGGGGGACAGGCGGACACAGGGGACAGGCAGACACGGGGGGACAGGCAGACACAGGGGACAGATGGACAGAGGGGACAGACGGACACAGGGGACAGATGGACACAGGGGACAGATGGACACAGGGGACAGACGGACACAGGGGACAGACGGACGCAGGGGACAGATGGACACAGGGGACAGATGGACGCAGGGGACAGGCGGACGCAGGGGACAGACAGACACAGGGGACAGATGGACACGGGACAGGCGGACACAGGGGACAGATGGACATGGGACAGATGGACACAGGGGACAGATGGACACAGGGGGACAGACGGACACAGGGGACAGACAGACACAGAGGACAGATGGACACAGGGGACAGACGGACGCAGGGGACAGATGGACACAGGGGAC